TTGATAAATCGATTTTGCCTATTGTTTCGTCTGATATGTAGTTATGTAGTTGAAATGTCACTGGGGGTAAATTGGTCATTTTAACCAGTTCGGTCATGTTCTGTCCTGTCTTACCAAACGCTGAACATCTGTCATGTTCTGTTCTGTCATGTCCTGTCCTGTCATGTCTGCGTACCAAACGCACCCTAATAGTTTTCAAAAGAAGATCTCTTATATTTATAGATTACCTACTAGTAATTGTGTAGGACATGGATGATATTTATTATTAAATTATGAATAAAAAACGTAATTTTTTTTAAATGGAGCATTATTTGTTGTATTTGACTTTTTTTAAGTATATAATATTTATATACAACAAATAGAACAAATAAGTTCACATACACCCTCCTCATCTTTGTTTAAATTTGAACTCTAACTTACTAGGAAGCCAAAGACTCACATACTGCTAGACCAAATTTCTTTTGGTTTATTGTATTTGACTTTAATTGTCAAATAGATCATATATTTTTAACACTCATATTAATATAAACTTTCACAAAAATAAACAAGATTATTATTAATTTAAAAATCTTTTATTTTTTGTATTTTTACCATGAAATTCTAATAATTTATTTTCATTTATTTTATAAAAAATAATTAAAAAAAATAAAAATCCAACCACAATCACGTTGTTTGGAGGTAGTCAAACAGATACAATTTCAACCATCCGCATAAGCATAACTTGTAGTTGTCAAATAATGCAGAACCCGTCAAAGCACCACATTCATTAATAAATATATTATTATTTTTTTTTAAAAAATCTTTAAAAACTAAAATAAATTCAAATAATTGATTAGACAGAGATACGAAGGTTACCTTATAAAGGACTAGATACCTACCCTACCAGATGTATTTTGAAACCAGTAAGTCCAGATGTGTATAAAGTGATCTGATACGGTTGGTCTGAGATGTTACATATAAAAACCGTGTTGATTTAACAAGAAACGTGAATTACTTATTGAACTTAAGTGAAAAGGTAATCCAATAATCGGAATACCAGCTCACAAATGTAAGCAGTTGCAAAAAAAAAAAAAGATTAGTAGAGTCGATAACGGATTTTTACGACGAAGAAGATTACTGAGAAATTCATTATGATCAATGTTGAGTAGTCTTAGGGGTCGTTTACCTAAATGCTTACCCGGTAAATGTTTAATGTTAGGAGTCAACACTATAATTTATTTTATTGGGTAAAACTGTAATACATCAAAACGTATCTTATGCAACAATTTACTTGGTAAGCGCTTACCCGGGTAAGAGTCGTCACCCTCACTTACCGGGTAAGACTCTCCATCCTTATCATCACTCTTAACGGGTAAGATTCTTGGCCCTTGCCATGTTCATCCGGTGAGGAAAATTACTCGGTAAGTACTTACCGGGTAAGCGTTTAGTAAACGGCCCCTTAGTCCAATGATTTCGTATCTATGTTTTGGGAGAGAGTAAAATGATGGACCATAAGAAGTGCATCGTAATAGAGACGAAAAACATCTCATAAGACCGTCTGGGAAGGACTACACGACCTGGGTCATGACACCGAGTCACGGCGTAGGTCACCATCTCACAAACACTTACAACGAGTTGTGCGACCTGGGTCGCATCCCAGGTCTCCTAACTTGTGAATTTGGAATGATTTCCACCTTTCTTTGGAGCAACAATTTGGTGTTGAAGTTGGAACAGTCTCCTTTTTAAGCATTGTTTGGTTAAAATAAGTTAGCTTATTTTTTGGGTATACGTTTAAATACACATAAGTTAGCTTATTTTTTGAGTATATGTTTAAATACACATAAGTTAGTTTATTGTAACATTACTTAAGAGTAACGTTTTGGTAGCTTATTATCATTTTTTTTTTCCAATTATATAACCCTAATTAATATTAATTATTACTTATTACTATCAAGTAATCCAATTATATAAACCCTAATTAATATTAATATCGTTGGAATGAGAGATTTACTTAAAAAAGAGACGTAATGGTGGTCACCAGCTAGACAATCTTCTAGAAGACACCCATTAATGGCATTGCCAATTCCTTTTTCCCGTAACTAAAGCCATCTCTTGAACTATATTTAATATTATATTAATTAATTTAATTATAAGAATACTAGGAATGGGATGTCTAATGGATCGTTTACCAAACATTTATCTGGGTAAACATTTAACAAATCATATTACCTTACCCAGATGAGTACGACAATGATCAAGAATCTTACCCGATAAGAACGAGACAAGGACCGAGAGTCTTACCCAGTAAGTGAAGATGACGACTATTTACCAGGGATAACACTTACCGGGTAAATTGTTGCATATGATGTCGTTTTTATTGACTAAAATCTTATCCATTAAATAAGTGATAGTGTTAAATTTTACTAATAAATGTTTATCGGATAAATGTTTAGTAAACGACTCTTTAAAAAAGTTCTTTTATTTTTCACCTTTTTCCTAGCACATAATTACCAACTCAACAATCAACATGCTAACAAACTCCATAAAACTCTATTATAGTAATCACCTTGATCATTTCCAATAGATATACAAAATTTTACATCAAATATCAAATTTAACATCAAAAAGTTATATCAAATGTGATAAAAAAAATAGTAACAGACCAAATTTGATGTAACACAATTCATTTATACCAATAAAAATCTTTAATAACTCATTCTCTCCAATGGTAATAACCTTCTCCAATGACTTTTTAAATGGTAAAAAGTATTCAATGACTTGAGCATTGAAAATGCTCTTAGAATGTTATATTTTTTATGTAAGATTTGATGTTACCTTAATATTTACCAAATTTTATGGATTTAGTATAAATTTGTGTTATCCATAAGATATACCCTTTTCAAAACCCTCCTTTTTTTCTCATGTATTTTCTCAAAATGGATATACAAGACAATATATACATACATACATATACGGCAAATTACATGAAAAAATAACATATTTTAACTTAATTCCTATTTTGGTTAACATACTTTCAAAACTTCCATTTTGGTACCTAAGATGTAAAGTTTTAAACATTTAAGTATCCGAATAACCGGTTGAAGCATTAACGGGTTACCATACTTAACACAATAATCAAAATAAGAACAAAAATTTTGTACAAAAACTCAGAACATGTTCATTAACTTATAAGAACTCTCCACTACAATAATAACTTGCAAAAACTACATTTTTTAACTTATAAAAACTTCCTATCATCATATATTTTTAGGGGTCATTTACTAAACGCTTACCTAGTAAGTAATTATTGGGCAAATTTCCTCACTAAATAAACATGGCAAGAGCCAAGAATCTTACCCGGTAAGAGTGATGATAAAGATGGAGAGTCCTACCCGCTAAGTGAGGGTGACGACTCTTACTCGGGTAAGCACTTATCAGGTAAATTGTTGCATATGATACATTTTGATGTACTACAATCTTATCCGATAAAATAAATTATAATGTTGACTCTTACTGTGAACACTTACCGGGTAAGCATTTAGGTAAACGGCCCTTTAATGTTGGTAGTTATACAACTTTCGTAGCGGATTGGGTGACCCATTAAAAAAGAATATAGACAAGACTAGATCAAAAGAAATAGAGAATGTCAAAAATACCCTTATGGCATAAAATAGAAATAGAATAGTAGGTATAGCCACCTTTGACTTTGTAAACCCAAAACCACATCCAAAGTGGGACACACGCGTTTCCTCCTATACTTCTTATATATACCATGTCTCCCCCTTAATTCATCCCCTGCTTTTCAAAATAACAAAGATTCAACGAAGAAGATGTGTCCCATGAGGTTTCTCTTGGTGTTTTTCTCGGCCATTTTAGCCGGTTATATCGCCTGGAAGTCAGTCCGAACCTCTTCCGAACCCCACGATATGGTTTTCGATGACGATTCCTCCACCGACAAACAACAATCTAATACCATCATCAAGGTAATAACTATAATATACTTCTAGGAATTTACTCTTCATTATTTAATTCATATATATTCTATGGGATTTCAGATGGCTCAGAATGGATTCTGGGGATTTGTTGATATGGCCAGTGGAAAGTACCTATGGAGGAACCTAACCCAGATCAAGGAAGATGGAAAAGTCAAGAGTTCTTAGAATCCTTGGGTTAGAGTCAAACCCCCAGTTTTCATGTATTCAGAAAGTCAACCCACTTTCATCTTTTCTATTCTGTATCATCAATGTATAAAATCTTATTATTCTTCATATTTATGTCACAATAATGTTAAAACTCGACCACAAAGGGGTGTGGCGTAGTGGTTGAGGCATAGGGGGATGTGGTGGAATATCCCATCTGCCCTTGGTTTAATTACAGGCGTCCACACCAATTGTGTTCAATGAGTTTATCACTGGGTTTATCAAGGCTGATGTCTTACTGTCGCAATTTACCGGATTAGTCTGGGCATTAGCCCGGGAAACCCTTCCAAAAAATGATGTTAGAATTCATCTCAACATGCCTACCATCATAATTATCATTTTTTTGAAGTATATAATATCTATACCCGGCAACCCTTGACCTCCAGGGAGGCTAGGATTTACCCGTGACCTGGATACTGCTGAGCCAACGAACCTAGGATACTAAAAGATTTCCTAAAGAAGGGTGCACCAAGGATTCTTGGTTTGTGGGGGTATCTTTCAATTTCGCCAAAGAAGTTGCTTCGATGACTCGAGCATGAGACCTTCAAGTCATGGAGCCAAATATAAAGTTATTTTTTCTCGAGAGTAAGCATAATTTGATCATTTTAGTTGAGATACTTTTAACACTATATACAGAAAGTCTCGCATGAAAAATAAGTAGAGAATTTAAGAAAAAATGCAGCAACTATCATATGGGTTCAGTTTAGATCAGCCTGTAGCTTAATAGACATGTAGAGAAGTGTAAGAAGAGCACCTTGTGGAAGTGGAGCAAACCTTGCAAGATTTGAGCCAACCCACATGGATACGACCACCAGTGCGACAACATTGCTGCTCGTTTTTCCACAAACCCAGCTCGCAAACGAGAGGCATAAAGCAAGCACAATTCCACCTTTGCCCCCCAAGAACCACGCAATCACGTAACCCACCTTATATCCTCTGTCCAACTCTGGGTCAAGCAGAGCCATCAAGCTGCTAAAAGTGAGAGAAAGTTTCGCCCCTATAGTTTTCAGTAAGAATATGGAGAGAAAGGTAGATCTCAGAACTTCAATAAATGAGCCTCGTTCACTGTTGACGCTATCCTCTTCAGATTCGTCATCAGTTTCATCGTCAAAAGGGTAACACCTCTCTTTGGAATCATGCCATTCCTGATATTTCTGACGGTTCATTCTCTGCTTCAGATCAGACCATTGGTGCGTCTTTATTTCATCTTCAAAACTAACGTCATACGTCCTCCATGGAGGGCCGTTGTTTGTTTGAAACTGGAGCGATCTATCATACTGGTTTCTTGTTGTGTTATTAGACAACACCTGCCCGATGATTATGGCAAAAACATATATATCTTAGGAAAATAATGGGAGGCTGCTGTATAAAAGGGATAATTTGGGAAACATTATGGGTTTGTCCAAATATATGTTACCCATATACTGCAGGGGCATATCAAAGAATTTTTTTTTGCATTTTTGATGGTTAAAAGACAACCCGCCGACTTGGTTCATTTATGCATCAATGCTGCTATCAGCTCGGCAGCAGTTGCCCTCACAGAAATAAGTTGTCAAACAATGTTTCCTAGATACTATAAACCTTCAGGTGGTCTGAATTTTAAATGGAAAATCTTCCCACAACAAGTAGTTAGTGATAAAATGCTTGTCATCGTTGTTTGAAAAACTTTCCTGACGTCAAAACTGAAAAATCACTTGACTCGTTATAGTGATGACAAGGATACTAAGCTTTGTCCACAAAGTTTGGGATCAGATTAATTGTTGTTTCATTTTTTACCATTTAGATCGTGGTGCTGGGGTTTATTGGTTATGGCTAGGGGTGTAAACGATTCGAGATTTTAATGAGCTACTCAAGCTCGAGCTCATTTATTTCGAGCTCGAGCTTAATAATTCTCGAGCTAGAGTCGATCTTGAACAAAAAATAGAACTCGTTTAACTTAACGAGCCGAGCTTTATAACACTAATGTTCGATTTGGCTCGTTCGAAAACTCGATTTCAGTTTTCGAGTCGAGTCGAGCCATTCGAGCATACCCTTTTTCGAGCCAAACATGCTCATATATTTATTAATCATACAATGAAAATATAAACATTATCGAGCTCTAAGTTGATAAAAGAATTAATCAATCGCGAGTTCGAACCTATAAACGAGTTCGACAACTCTAAAAATATTCGAGCTTGAGCTCGAGCCCTACATTGAAAAGTTAATCGAGCTCGAGCCTAGTATTAAATTTTTGAGCCCGACTCGGTTAACCTACTACTCGACTCGTTTACACCCCTAGTTATGGCATGTATAATTATAAAAATTCCAACAAAAGATGACCTGATGCCTCACTTGTGTCTCAAAGGGCTGATCAGTAAACATTTTCATAGAAGAGAACTGAACTATACCCTTTATTCAGGAACATTTTCATGAGTTTCACTTGTCTAATTAATTTTAAGGTATTTAATTAGAGCTGTTTTCTTCAGTATGTATCATTAGTTAAAAAAATATTTTGGTAGGTTAATTAGATGGCGAAATTAGCAGCTTTTAGTTTCTTTCCTTAGCAGATCACAATAAACGCAGATAGCAAGTATTGAGACCCAAAAAAAGAATAACTTCTAACCTCATATGCAAGACGGATGCCTTTAAACAACTCACCAGCTTGTGAATCCTTGTTAACATCTGGATGATACTGGCATGAGTAAATTATCATTAATAAGACTAATAAACAAGATCTCAACGGAGCTTCTAGAGCAGATAACGGGAAGGCAAAGAGTAAAAGAGACAGATAAAAAATATGGAACAGCATAACTAAGGCTAATAAATATTATTTTTCTCAAAATAGAAGTAATAGCACAGAGCAGAAATATACTGTTCATATGAAGAACCAGAAATTCCCATAGTAAACGAAAATCAGGTACCACGGGTATTTCTCTTACAAGAACACATGTACTATAGTGGTTGTAGAAATGCAAGATATATTGGTAGTTTTACATTCAAGGATTGTTCGTAAAGGTGAAAATAGATGAACGTTTCCTAGGAAAAAAAGCAACAGAGAAGATCAAATAAAGTCCTTTATCTCGAACTAGTTGGGGCAGCAGAGGAAAATAAAAACTAGAACAGCTCTTGCAATTTATAGCATGTATGTTACCAATACTTCAGAGATCATCTTGTTTGAAAACCTACATCTGTAATTAAATGGTGAAAGAACTAAGTATGTTATTGATCTCATTGACACTGTCAAAAAGGCTAACACTTGCTCTCCCAACTTTTAGCCGAGCTGCTTATCCCTGTAATGTCAAACACAATCTGATGGTAAGAACCATCTTGCGAACTTTTACAGCCTTTTGTATATTCTCATTATGAATCTGCAGATTCTTTTCTTCAGTAAGCAAATGATTAATAAGGTGGCCAACGACCTTGCAAATCGTGCATACTATTAGTATCTCACCCCATTAGCTTATTAACAGGACGGAATAAAAGTGAGAATCTATTTCATTTTATGGATTGTTATACTAAAAATACATCTCTACAACTATCAATGCTTTATTAGGTTGGTGTTGTTGGTCTAAACAAGGTCTTGCAGCCTATGGTAAAGAAAATAGATGTGGAACCACTGATCGTGCTATCTATACAAAAAGTTCCTCATTATGCCATTTAGATTCAGATACATATATCACATAACTTGAATTTGGGTGGGAATTGGGAAACCCAATTTTATAAACTGCTCTTTTTGTCCCAATATAAGAGTTGGCAGTTTTCTGAGATTCAAACCTAGTAAAGTTTGAATCAACATTCATATGAATCATTTCACGTTAATGAAGCCAACATTTTCCTATCTGTGGTACTTTTATAGTATAGTTTGATGTTGTGGTCAACTTTTCCTAAAAAGCAGGAGTTGAAAATCATATCAACTTCTGAAACTGAATTCATTTCAATCTCAAAATTCAAAAGCGGACTCCAAAAGTGGGATAGAGGAAGTAGTATCTGATAGAAAGTCCACGCATTTGATTATAAGAAATTTCCGACATAACTTGGAGAAGTTTTTAGGTTTAGCAGAGATGTCTTGAGATTCTTGCTAATGTGTGTTGTCCATCTTTAAGGACCAAAAAGAAAACCTTGCATAGCATCTGCTAATAAGCAATACCATCAAATCAGTTATAGCCTCACATCACAGTTTATCTGCTGTTAGCCTGTTAGGACAGATTACATATCTTGATATAGTTGGGTAGACTTGACAACATATACAAGGTGTCCTTTAATCGCATTAATATGGTGTGTCATTAGTTTTCCTTTTATGGAAAATCAAATGCATACCATGTATAAGAAAATTTATGTTAATGAACTTGCAACATTTTTTAACCTTTAAGAACTTAAGGTCCATGGAGCTTGCAGAAGTTATGGGGTTGATTCAACTAGCATCGAGCTAAAGCTCTTTCACAAGGTTTACTTTTTGTCTTCGACCATTGGCACCAGGTATCTTGCAAGTTTTACATATTGAAAAGTGCAAAGAATCTTCTTGTGGTTGCTTTTGTCTAGGTAAACAGTTGACCATGACATAGTGTATATGTTCCAGTGTCTTAACACAAAGCAAAAGAAGAAGCACACAATGCTGCTTTTCCTTGCATTCATAGAATTTTCTAAGCACATAATGGTCTGGTAAGTTTTCCCTAATATTTGGGACTTTAAGAATTCTTATTACCAAAGAAAGGGAGGGTCTTCAGACCTTCAGTATCTTTATGTTCTTAAATACTACTTCCTGTAAATCATTATTGAAGTATTGATACTAAAGATGAAATCTAAGCAACATCTTATGAAATATAAGGAAAAGTACAATATAGAAATCCGAAGCCGATATGTGAAACACACAGGAAAATATCCATGACATTATAAATCATTATTAAAGAGTTTAAGGTATTGATACTTGAGATGAAAATCGATGTGTTTTTTCTAGGACAAGTGGTAGCAGAGCTATTGTTCTTATCTTGGTTTAACATGTATATTATCAATATTCCAGATATTTGTGATGCTTAGAGCAACCTATAACTTAGTTGAATGAGAAACACACAGGAAAATATCCATGACATATAAATCATTATTAAAGAGTTTAAGGTATCGATGCTAAAGATGAAAATCGATGTATTTTTTCTAGGACAAGTGGTAGCAGAGCTATTGTTCTTATCTTGGTTTAACATGTATATTATTCCAGATATTTATGATGCTTAGAGCAACCTATAACTTAGTTAAATGTTGAAATATGTTTCTGTTCTCATTACACCCTCAAAAGGGGTAACATGTGCTCTCTTACATTTATTATAGCTGCCTGTCTTTATAATCTGGAGATACCAAGCAATATGACACTGAGGGCAGCATAGGAAACTTAGGCATCATTCTTTTACCTCTTTATGAGTTTGATGAAAGTAAGTGATCACTCTATTTTCCGTCAAAAAAGGAAGTGGAAATACAGGATGACGCAAAATTTCTGGAAGTCATGCAGAGGAGCACAAAATCTTCTGAGATGGGCCCATGTTGATGCACAGACTACTAGGAAGCACTTCTGGAACGTGAGTCATAGGCTTACAATCTCAACAAAAATGATGATAGCAAATGCAAGATTGCCTTTAATCACATAGAGATTTTGTTTCAATTACCTTTTATACAATCAAAAGTTAATATAAGAAGTGCATTCTATATTAGAGAACTCAGATCCATGTGGCCTTGCAAAACTATGGTGTTGAATTAAATAATGTGGAGGCTAAGAAGAACAAGGTCTATACATCTAATATTGTAACACTCTTCGTTCAGGTCACAATGTTCAACTTGTTCAAGGTAAATCCAGTCCCGCATGGTTTATTTCTCAATAACAGGGATTAAGGAAGATGGTACCGCCAACAGTCTAGTACCCGGTAATTGTTGATCGCTTCTGAACAGACGAGCAGTTTTCTTGGCTTTACTTTTGTTCCTAAAATCTCTATATATGAAAAATCTTATAAGTTCACCCTCTTATTTGTTACTGTAAGAAGCTATCACAAAAAATAACGGTATTCATACCTTCAATGTTGTTCGATTCCGGCTTTATTTACTTCCTTGGGCATTTTACTTGTAACTAATGTATAATTCTTTTAGTTCATTACATGTTTTCTTTTCCCGACTGTCAACCGGTTGATGATCTGGGAAGCAAAAACTAACAATTGTTATGGTTGCATTAGACTTGAATGTGTTCAAATAATGTGAACTTCCTAACGTGCAATTGATTTCTTTTCTACGTGTTTAGCCCTAAGTGGGGAGGAATATACCTCACAGCACATCCTAGTCAGGAAGCAATCCATCTACCATCTAGATAATTAATATAACGATCCACTAACCAAGCACTTCATCTCAGTTTTCCCCTTTCCTCCACATGCTGATCCAGAATTTCTGATCATTTTAGTCACTACCCCTTAATTTCACTTTCCTTTCTCCACTTCTTAGTTTTTAATTTCCTAAACTTGTTAGAATGATTCCAAACTCAGATTAACAAAATTTTGATTGATATTAGAGTAGAAACACCAAACACCGCTCTCAGTTGGTTCTCCTAACTCTTTCTTGAATCCCAAGCTTTGAAAAGGACTAAATGTAATAGATTCTGCCGACACTTACAGGCTTATTAGGTATTAAAAACAAATTTCCTCTTCAGAAGTTAATTTAAATGAAAATCGGTTCATATTCATACTGTTTATCAAATCCTGTTTGTCGTATTTCATTTAATTTTCACACAGATGTCGATTTCAACCCTAACATAACGCATAAATTAATATAAAAAATCACCCTAGCAATCGAAATTGAAATCAAATACACACACACACACTGTTATTATGTACCTTTCGTGCGAGAAGACGATATGCCTTCTTGATATCCAAGGTTGAAGCGTCTGCTGATACACCTAGAACAGTGTAGTGATTCTGCTGGCTGTTTGAGACGGCGCATGTAACGCTGGTCCGGCGGCAGTAGAGCGAAGGGACAGTGCCGATCAGGAAAATGAAGTTGCGATTGGAGCTACGACGGAGAGAAAAAGTGGTGCCGGTGCCGGTGCCATCGATGGAGGCTGGCACCGGAAATAGACGTGACTGCATGGTTGGATTTCGGGCATTCGTAGCCCCAAGTTGATAAAACTGCGTGGGTGGGGACTTTGGGGCTCAGCTTGGATCTGGGGAAGATGGGGCTATGCTGATGTCACCTGCAAAATTGAGTCCCTGCAGGCTGCAGTTGTGACTTGTACGGTACAACATCTCTATACGGAAAACTAATTGCACCCTCTCTATTGGTAATTGTCACACTATATTTTTTTTACATTTGGTGAGGTCGAACTCATGAACTCCTAAAAGGATAAAGGCTCACATATCGTTAGGTTAAATGTTCTTTGGTTCAGTTTTAGTTCTTAACTTTTACAAAGTGTTTGTTACGCAAATATGATTGGACAGAATAAGACCAGAAGGTGATATTAAATGGTCAGTGGCGGACCCAATAATTATTTTCAGCGGGTGCATGTGTAAGATTGATCAAAGGGTCATAAAATCTCGTTGATGCGGGAAGAAGTAATCACGATTTGACTCAATAAAAAGTTAATTATATCAATTTCAAGAATAAAATACATTTTTTTAAATGAAATCAAACATTACTTTTTGAACAGGTAGCAAAATTATGTGTTACATTCCACGTGTTTTTAGCCAAAATTACAAGGAACTTTTTTGGTTTTTGGTTGATTTCCTAAAATTTCCTGATTTTTTGGATTTGATTTTGATTTTTCGTTATATTTCTTTTTCTAGGTTTTTTAATTTTGTTTTCTTATGTATCAGGGACTTCTACTATTAAATATAATTAGAAGTGTATTCGTACAATACAGCGAAATACATCTTGATTTTAATCTTTCGTTTTATATTTTGGGTCTATCGATGTTATAATGCGATTTTATGTTGTTTTAAGAAAAAAATAATGTTTTTATTTTAAATGAAATATAAATTTGAAAATATTATAAAATTTTGAAAAAAGATAGACGATATTAATATCAAATTAACTATTTAAAAGTTCATTTTTGTTTAATTTCTCTAATTCAATTTTTTATTATAATTTAATTGAAGTTTAATAACAAACTAATCTATTTTTGTGTTAATAAAATATTTTTTTAAGATAATAATTAAGTATTCTGTTAGAACTCAATGATTATCTTATTATATTTTATATTTTTTATATTTAAAATGATGTTTATTATATATTTGATTATGTTTATCTACAGTTAATTACACAAATTTAAACATAGAGCTTTAATAAGATGTACTCATGCATATTCTACTTGTAATCTTAAATTTAAAGTAATATACATCAATAAACAGTATTTTATACATAAAAAATTGTTTTCAAGAGTTTTTGTCAAATAATTTATAATATAAGTATATATATTGTACGGTTTAGATTTAGCTAACCAAACTAAAATAACATTAGGGTTTAAGCAAATAAATAACGACTACATAAATTTAGTGCAAATCATATTTAGAACAGATAAATAAATTTAGGAGGAAAATGGCAATTTAATTATAAAATTAAAAGAATTTAGGACAAATAAATAAATTGTAACATATAATATAATTGAAAAATACGAAACAAAGATGATCGACGATTCCTTACGTGTGGTGATTGAAGAGTAGAAGTGGGAACAAAAATCCATTGTTTTGAAGATGATCTATTAAACTTTAAGTTTAGTACTTTTAGTTTTAAAATATTTAAAAACACCTTTCTGTTTTTTTAAAATTTATAAAAAAAACAATTTAAAAGATAAAAAAAAACCCTTAAATTTGGTTTCTAAATTTTTAAGGGCACATTAATATCGTGCTCAACCTTGATAGGTCTGTCACTATGGACAAGATTAGACAGAACAAGAGTTTGTTTGGTGTTTGGTACGATTAGAATTGGACATTACATAACTACATAAGTTGCATCTAATATTTATTTGATGATTTTATGTATCATATAATAGTTACAATTAACATAAATAAAGTAACTAATTTAATTTATAAACACTTTTACACAATTTTCACATACATAAACACAAACACACACACAATAGTATTGAACTTTAATATATATATATATATATATATATATATATATATAGTACCAATTTTGAATGAAAATTTTGATATGATTGGTGGTATTTTGGAAGGAAAAAAAACCTTATTCATACAAAGAAGAAATTATTTTTATTTGGTTTGAAAGATCTTTATCATATGGCGGATGCAAGGTGAAGATTGTTGCAACAACAATGATTAAGGAAGTAGAGGCAGTGGTGATTGGTGGATGATTTTTTTTTTTGAAGTATATAATATTTATATATGACAAATGCAACAAATAAACTCACACACCCTCCTCACCTATGGTAAGGTTTGAACCACTGACCTCCTAGAAGGCCAAGGGCTACGATACCGCTAGGCCAAAGACCCTTTGGTAAAGATGGTGGATGATGTGAAGATGGTGGATAGTGGTGGTAGAGGTAGTTGTGGCCGATGTGGTGGAGGTGGTGGTGGTGCTTATGGTGGAGGTGGAGATAGTGGTGGCTGACGGTACTAATGGTGGTGGAGATGGCAGGTGTGGTCGATGACGAACGATGGTTGTGGAGGACGTAAAGATGGTAGATAGTGGTAGTTGTAGCTGATGGTGGTGGCAGGTAGTGGCAGTGGTAGCCGATGGTAGTGTTTTTGGTTGTGAAAGTGGTGAATGAGGTTGTTGTAGTAGACGAGAAGGTAGAAGTAAGGCACAAGGTGGTGGCGATGGACGATGGTGGTTATGGATATGGCAATGGACGATGGTGGTGAAGGTGGTTGTTGTAGTGGATGAGGAGGTAGAAGTGGCAGACGGTGGCAAACAGTGGCTAACGATGGTAGCGGCGCCCATGATTAGTGGTGATGACCACTAAAACAAATATCATATTAAAGTTATATATCAAACGAGGGTTAATTAATAATATTTTAGCTTATGTCTCATTTTTGTCTCATCTCGTTCCACTTATTTTGGTGGAACAAAAAAAAAACGTTTTTTGTCCCATGATATCCCATCATTTTCCAGTCTCATGTGGCACCAAACGTATGAGAGTGAGTTATTGTCCTATCCCATGTAAAGCCAAACGTGGACAATGAGTTTCGTCCCATCCTGTCCTGTCATATCTCATATACCAAACACAACATTAGAAATCATAAGGATACTTATCAAGATTTTGATTTGGTTATGGTCGTTAGGGCCGTTTAAGTGAGGGCAATTTGGTAAGTTTGTGTGCTTTTAGTTATAAGAAATTTAAAATACAATGCCTCATTGTCAACCCCTCCCATCCTCTCACTATCAACGTCTCTTCCTTATTTGACAACCCCATCATCGACATACCCTCCACCCACCCCATCACCTTAAATATCCTCGTCAAATAGTACACCACATGCACCAAATGACTAACATGTATAATAAACGATTAAAATACCCTTCAAATGACTAACATGTGATGACACTTAAGAGAACTTTTTAACGGTGCTAACGGTCAGGGACGAAATTCTTAGTGAGATACAAATCAATAACATTTTTTATAATTGGGGACAAACCCTGTAGTTTTCACAAACCTCGAGGACTATTTTTGTAATTTATTTCTCATATCTATTATCCTTTCAATGGGAAAAAACACATGTGGTGACTCTCATTGGATATTCTAAAGGGTTATACTCTTGAAATTCAAAAACTTTACCTAAATATTTTATAAAATTAGAAGAATAATCGGATAATTTAATGAGATATATTTTGATTTTAATATTTTATTTTATTTTTTGTTTTTGTTGATATAATATAATTTTACATAGTTTGAAAAAACAA